CTATTTTTCAGTTTTTATGTTTTCAAAATTAACTAATTATTTTATTTTTTTGGGACCAATTCACATATTGGAGAGCTAGTCTTGTTCACCTCTACACTAGATTTTTGAAAGGCCAATTAGCATCGTCGATTTGCTTTCAAAAGCACTGATCCAGGATTATCAGCCAGCGAAGTTTTGTATCTACAATCTATCTCTAAGGTGGATTTTTGAGAAGTGGCGGCACTTAAATAGGTGAATCCGCTGATGCACCAAAACCCATCCGACATAGTCTATCTAAGTAGTTTGATTATGTTAGTTTCAGTCTCTGAACCCCCAAATAAGTACGTGTGGTGTTTCCCAATATGGAGTATGTATCCAAATTCTATCCACAATCAGGAATAAAAAAAAAAATACAACCTTAAAAATGTAGTCATACGTGTTATGGTGCAGTTTGTATATAGCTGAGGCTCTAAACAATCAAAAAAAAATGCACATTCAAATAGTGTCCTGAAATGTGATTTCAATACTGAAAATCTATGTGATAATCTTAAAATATATTTTATATCTAATTATAAAATTTCAAGCTTAAAAAACTGTGTAGATTGAGCAGATCCATGAAAACTTGAAAAATTTTGAAAATTGGTTGTAATGCACTATTTCCACAACTTGAAATTTTTTTTTTATTCTCATGTTCATGCATCGTGATGTCGAGATGATCAATTTAAAGATAATTGAGCATCAAAACAACCTCTTCTAGTGAAATTTTGGAGGTGCGCTCTAATTTGATTGTTTAGAGCCTTGCACTTATATAAACTTTTTCTTGCATCTTACTCCAAATTTATATGACACATAAATGAATTTACAATGATTTGAGATGTTTTTCGACCCACTTTAATAATATTTGAATAATTCATCTCTGAAGCGATAAGGAAAAGTCTATAAAGAGAATATATAAGGAAAAGTCTATAAAGATAATATTTACTTTTAGGGTGCAGTTTGCATACAAATGCATCTGCACCTTCAAATTTTATCATTTATATAATTTTGATGTAAAATGTTCTTAGGATTATTTCAAAATCTATTTTTATATCTAATTATAAAATTTT